TATCCCAGGGTCATTCTGAAGATTAGATAATGTGTACCAAGATGGCATAACATATAACACACTGAAGTATATAACTACCAGCCATTAATATAAGTATATTTCCAAAATTACTCAGACAGTAGAGCTACAGACTTCTATTTTTCATCTCCAAGATGAAATGACCAAGATGACAATCAGTTTCCAAAAGTGAGTGTGTTCCATAACAAATCAGTTCACTGGACACTTTATAAACCAAACAGTTCCAAGAAAGTTTTAATCAAACAATTACCTTTTCAAGTTGTAAAACAGCCCAGTGCTTTTTGGATTTTGTTTGTTTCACAGCATACTACTGTACACCTCTGGATGGTCTGGTACTCACTACATAGTCCAGCCTAGTCTAGAGTTCAAGCAATCCTCCTGCCTCACTGAGGCCAAAAGTGCTCATCTCAGTGCTAGACAAACTTAGACTTTGTCCCCACAACAAAATCAAGTACAGTGTATAATATTTCTAAAGCAACTTGACCATAAAATGGCACTGGAGACCTAAAAATATACACTTTGGAAAATGCTAACAAAAAGAATGCTGATTATATATATAAAACAAAAAGCAGTTTCTAGAGAATGGCATATGCTCTTCCCATTTCATTACATTAGTTACAGTTACTCACCCAACAGATTTTAATGGCCTTCCTTTACTCTCCAGACTCAAGACTTTCAGACCTCTGTAGACTTTTCCTTCATAGATATTATAGTCACAGGTGCTGAGAAATGTGAAAGACTATTTGATTAATTTCTGTCACTTCTCCCAGTAAATTTTAAGTTTCAGTGTGTGTGTGTGTGTGTGTGTGTGTGTGTGTGTGTGTGTATTTCCTCAGCATCTAGCACAATGTTTGATACAAGACACTAACAGTGGTCTCATTATGTAGTTCAGGTTGGCCTTAAACTCACAGTCCTCTTGCCTCAGCCTCCAGAGTGCTGGGATAATAGGCACACACCACTACTCCTAGCTTCAGGTTTTTGTTTGTTTGTTTGTTTGTTTGTTTATACACACAGTAAATAACTGTGAAGAACTCAATGTTTATTAATAGAAAACTGGTTAAATAAGTTACTCTATATTTGTATTATACAATGTTCTATAATGATTAAAAACCATAAACTTGGCTGGCTGTGGTGGCCCAGGCCTGTGACCCCAGCAATTGGGAAGTTGAGGCAGAACTGCCTAGACTACACAGTGAGTTCTAACTAGTACACAGACTATCCTGAAAGAACATTAGGGGGGGGGGGTGTGTTTTATTACACGCATGCTATATCACACAGAGATCTACAAACATACATGTAACTGTTAACAATGACCACACCTGACCCCAGAAAAGTAATCTGTATGCTCTATAAATTGTTATGATTTTCAAAAGCATGCCCTTCTTTTCTACCTCATTTTCTGAGGCTTGGAGCAACTTCGAATCTACACAGATTATCATATAGTTACGCGTGGCTCATACTTGTATCTCTCTTTGTCTCTTTCCTTTCTTTCTTTGGTTTTTTGAGACAGGGTCTCTCTACATATCCCTGGCTGTCCTGGAACTCAGTATGCAGACCAGGCTGGCCTCAAACTCAGAGATCCCACTGCCTCCGCCACACACAAGTGCTGGGATTAAAGGCCTGTTACCACTCCGCCCAGTGGCATTAACAGTCCTTCACAACCACTTCCTACCATCATTTCAGAAAGACATGGTGTCTAGTTTGCACAGCTATGCTCAAGATCCCATTCATTCACTGATCCACATTCATTCCATTCTCTTAATTAAAAGAGAGAGAGAAAGGAAAAAAAAAAAACCTACGCAGCCCTTTGTGCCCTGTAATGGACTCTGGAACTCTCCACTCATCCATTTCTTGTCTTCTCACACATCACAGCACCCTCCAGAAAAGCCAGCACCCTTTAGAAAAGCCAGCACCCTTTAGGAAAGCCAGCATCCTTTAGGAAAGCCAGCACCCTTTAGGAAAGCCAGCACCCTTTAGGAAAGCCAGCATCCTTTAGAAAAGCCAGCATCCTTTAGAAAAGCCAGCATCCTTTAGGAAAGCCAGCATCCTTTAGAAAAGCCAGCACCCTTTAGAAAAGGCAGCACCCTTTAGAAAAGCCAGCATCCTTTAGGAAAGCCAGCACCCTTTAGGAAAGCCAGCACCCTTTAGGAAAGCCAGCATCCTTTAGAAAAGCCAGCATCCTTTAGAAAAGCCAGCATCCTTTAGGAAAGCCAGCATCCTTTAGGAAAGCCAGCATCCTTTAGGAAAGTCAGCACCCTTTAGGAAAGTCAGCACCCTTTAGGAAAGCCAGCATCCTTTAGGAAAGCCAGCATCCTTTAGAAAAGCCAGCATCCTTTAGGAAAGCCAGCATCCTTTAGGAAAGTCAGCATCCTTTAGGAAAGCCAGCATCCTTTAGGAAAGTCAGCACCCTTTAGGAAAGCCAGCATCCTTTAGGAAAGCCAGCATCCTTTAGGAAAGCCACCATGCTTAATTTGTATCTCTATTTCTTAAGAACAACTTTTTTAATGATCCGCACAACCATCTTGACAGGAATGTTAAGAGCAGACATAGTACTAACCCCGCATTATAGAGTAAAAATGACAGAACTAATGTGAGGTCTCTCTTCTGCTAAACCAGTTGCATGAACTTCTGGGGAGATGAAGAAACAACAGGACAAAGAAACAATTCTTCCTGGGTCGAGCTCAGTGAACCAGTGAGTTCAATTTTAATTATCATCTCACAAAAACATAGGCTATTTACAAGAGCAAAGACAACTGCTATGTGGCCACCCCACAAAGAATATGTCTCTCAGCATCCATCGGCCAACCATGGATAGCTTACATACACTCAGGAAGAGGTGATGCCTCCTAAGTCCCTCTCCACTCCATGACAGACCATGGGCCCAATCCCGTGCATGTGTCTCACAGGTAATAATCACAGGTGCCAAGGGTTCAGGAGGTCACTGGCCAGGTCGCTCCCAGAAGATGACGTTCCACATTACCAGTGTTATTTTCATTACACACCATCTCCTCTCCAGTAAAGGAAGTGAAGCTATCCAGACAGAATCAACAACGCAACGAATCTCAATTTAATGAGATTTAAATCTCTTTTGCTCACTGCCTTTTTCAAACCTGTAAGTGGCCTGATGGCATGGCTGATCAGTGACCATAAAAACGGGCCTCAGAAAATGGGAGGTCACAAAGCCCAGCATGCACTACTTTACTGTTAGATAATCCTCATATTAAGCTGAAAGGTCTTTGGTACGCTGACCTGTTGGCCATTTGGAAGACTTGAGCAAGCTCCTTTCCTGTTCTACAATATATTCAAATATGAGAGCAGACACTTTATCTAGATACACATCCTAATAAAACGTCTACCATGGCGAGGCATGGTGGTACACACCTCAGGAGACTGAGGTAGGAGGATTGCTGCAAGTTCAAGTCCAGCCTGACTGTCTCAAAAGGTTAAAAACAAGTGGAGGCAGTGTGGGAGTAGGGGGAAGGTTCCCTAACACTCCATTTCGTCTGACCAGTCTTGAATTTAAAAACTGTTTAACCTGGGGTCCCAGTTTTCTTCCTCTCGGGAAAGAACTAACTAGTGTATCTCACAATTCTATTTAAATCAGGTCTAGTCTTCTTTCAAAGCTCTCTACAGATTTTAAGATGCTACAGGGACAGTGGCAGGAAATTATACTCGACTACCCCCACTGCAGTTTGGGCCAAAGTGCGGACTGATCCACTTTTCTTTACCAACTTCTACTCCCTAAGTTCTTCTAGAACACAGGGAAAGCAGGCGGCAGGTTAATGGACCCAGTGCCTGCTAACCTAGCATGTGCTCTGAAGGCCTGACTTGAAATGCCCTTCTTTACTCTTCTTCACTAAACTGCCTGCCTTTCCCCTTAGCAACTTCTACTGAAATCAGTAATTACAGATCGATCTGATGATTATTGTCCGTATCACTCAGAGAACTACAAGCTCCATAAAGACAGAATCAATGTTTCTGAGCACTGACCCCCCACCCCCACCCCCATGGGTATAGAGCCCTGCACATGAAAGGTGTTTATTAAACATGTGACAACCAACGAAAGGGAAAAAGAGTACAAGTGACTATAAATAGATTGCTTTCTTAACGTTTTAAAATTAACCACCTGCCGACCACCTGCTATGTCCCAGACTACTTACTCCTTTGTTAGCTTCAAAATAATACCACCAGATTTCTCATTTGAGGCTAACGTCACAGAAATTATTAAATTACTTCAAGAAACAAACTGAGGAAATTACATCAACTCTTGTTTATGTAAATATTAACTTTATGTCATGTAAAGCTGGCCTCCAGGATGACTAAAGCCGATTATCTGTTCTCCATATTGTTATGGGGAAGGGGAGCTCTATCCACAGAAAATCACTAGTCATGCATACCTCGTTACCTCAACAGTCTGAATTTTCTTCCAGTTTACACAAATTCTGCTAAATTCAATAACTGTATAAACAGCAAGCAACCATTTTGACAGAAGCCAAACAGTTTGCGCTTACAACCTCAACAAAACCTGAAGTAACATTTTGTTGGTGAGGACAGTGATGCTAAGATCGTACTCCCTACAAACCTATGGGCTTGGAGTTTTCGAAAAACAGTCGCTGCACAGACATAGAGAAGAACTGCAAAGAGACACTCGTGTAATAATCTTCAGTTTCCTGCTGCAGGGGCGTGATCCAGATGGGAGCATCCAAGGGCTCCATTGCCCCATCGGTACCTTAGGTTGGATGAAGGCTGCCCTGTCCAATCTTGGCGCTACTAGTGAAATGTGCTGACCATAGGATGTATTCACGGAACCCAGCCAAGTCAAAGAAAGGGCGTGGGAAAAATGTTTTAGACAGGGTTGCAATGCAGCCAAGACTAACTGGGCTGCAATCCACGCTCACCCTGGCCAACTTCTCTCATTTCCTCTCTCCCCTTCCAATCACTTTTTCCTGGAATCGCAGTCAGTACAACAGGCAGGAGCCTACCTTGGTCTGAACACTCTTATCGAACTTGTCATTTTTGAAGGTGAACGTATTCTGGTGCTTCTGAGGCCTGGACCGAGCCACGTTGCCTTTCTGGGAACTCATCACAAATTCACAAGCACCTTAAGTCGGTGCAGCCTTAATGTTACAGGGAAGCGGAAAGAAACTCCCGCCCCAAGTTGAGCCTCTCCACAGTGACCCGGAAGAAGTTCAACTCCTTCCGTCCCATTGCCCCCCCCCCCCCGGGTCGACCCACGTGACTCATCACGGAGGTCACGCTCCGCCGCTCGGCGCGGCGCCTCTCCGACCACCCCTTTCGCGGAAAGCCTTCCTCAGACCTAGGGAGCAAGTCCGGCTTTCTTCGAATCTAGAATTCCCCCATTGGCCCGAACGCGGCTGTCCATCACAGCGGAGGGGCGGGGACCCCCCCCCCGTTCCTATTGGCTCTTCTTTTCCGCAGTCCCCGCCTCCTGCCGAGCGCTCCCAGCCTGTCCGCGGCTCGGTAGCGTAGCGACTCGGCTGCGCGGTTTGTGATTGGTGGAAGGTGGGCGAGGCCGGTCCCCCTGCCCCGCCTGCAGCCCGGAGCCCGGGTCAGCCTCGGCGCCCTCCCGTAGTCAGTGACCAGCTCCAGCCGGGGCCGCGCGCGCCGCTCGCCCGCCCCCCCTCCACCCTCCCCCGCCTCCGCCCGCGTCCTTCCCGGCTCCCGCCCGCCCGCCCGCCCGCCGCGGCCGCGCGCTCCGCCGCCAGGCGGGCTCAGGAGGCGCCGAGGGAGGCGGGCTGCGGAGAAGCCACCGGCGGCCCTGCGCTGCGGACGGCGACCACGGCCGCGCGGGACCTCAGGCCGGAGAGCCCCGGCGGCGGCGGCCGCCCCTCGCGCCGGGGCCGTTAGTCAGCAGAACGCGAACGCGCGTGGAGGGGCCCCCCACCAAGCGCGCCCGGCCACCGCAGCGCTCGTTCGCGTCCTCGCCGGGCCGGGCCGGGCCGGGCCGGGCCGGGCTTGGCTGGGCCGCGCGCGCAGAGTCGGCGGGCGGGCGGGCGGCGGCGCCCCGCGGAGGACAGCGCGTCGGCGGCCGCGGCCGCCCAGCTGCAGGTGCGTGGGGCCCGGGTTGCTGGGCCACCGGGGGAGTCGCCGCTCTGCGCCGGGGGATCAGGCCGGGAGGCTCCGGAGAGGGGCTGCCGAGCGGAGACCGGCGCGTCCCGGGCCTCCTCTCCCGCAGGGAGGACCGCCGCAAGATGGGGGTCGGGTGCAGCTCCCCTCCCTGGATCTGGGCCACTCGGGGGGCCCTTAGCGCTCGGCTCGGTGGGTGTCCGGGTCCAGGCAGCCTCGATTTCAAATGGAGTCTGTCGGGAGCTGGAGCCGGGGTATCCCGCTCCGCCTGTCGCGGGAGCTGCTTTCGATGGCTTGAACTTCTATCCTCCGTGATTGGGAACTCGAGGAGGTTGGGTTTTGAATTGAAAGTTGGAGAGTTTGAAATTGTGTTAAATACTGAACCTAAAAAGTTGTGTCAAATTAGACCGTAGTGTGTGTGGGGGACGTCCCGAGAGTTTAACCTCGGCTTCTTGTTTTAAAAAAACGAAAACGTTCAGAGCCTTAGTCGAGGTGAGATTTCTGTCAAAAGCAGAACATTGAGTTCCATCAACGGTGCTCTGATTTAAGGCAACATGAAGCCGATTCGGTAAGAAAAGATTAGGATAACGGGGTGCGGAAAGGGTGACCTTTAAATTTTGCCTAGGAGTTTATGAAAGGTATTCTTTATGCAGTATGTAGTGCTTGATCCCTAAGATAATTCATTTACATTTTCAAGCCTTCAATGTGTAAAAAGAATTTTGGACATTTGGGCCAGCATTTGAAACTACCTACTGAGTCTTGAGTAGAACATCAGGTGCGGTTTGTGATGACATTCATTTGCTTACATTAACGGGGATTTTCGATTAATGAAGATTTATTTTGAGGAGAATTTGTGTCCATACATTTGGCGCATGAATTCAGATGGGTAACATACCTCCTCATAGCCAATGCAGTGTTTTGGACATCACCACTATTGTCCGTGTCCATGCTTGTTACTGCATTTTCTTTTGGATGAAGGGCATTACAAAAGGAAAACGGTGAAGGCAATCGCGTTGGAAGTTGAAAATCTCTCTTGTGCCTTCGTTACTATTTCAAATCTAGGAGGGAAGAAGTAGCACCCTCACTCATATTTTGACCTCTCTTTTCTCCTAGTCTAGTATTAATAAGGTTAATTGGCAAGGATAGGATTAGATTTTAAGCAAGCTAGGCAGCTTTAAATTTGTCTCTTGGTGTACAATACCCTGGTTGATATGTGGCTTGTTTCCCTAAGTACCATCACCCATTTTGTATATGAATAAAAGGACAACTGAAAAAGCGGAGTCTCCTCCACCCCCAACACATACAATCACCATAAAATACTAGGACAAGATAATGTTTTTAGTGGCTTAATAAACCCAGTAGAATGAAGCATTTAGTGTCCTATTCTGTCATCAAATTGGTCTACAACTCCAGGCATGCTGTTCTAGTCTGAATCAGTTTCTACATTAGTAATACAAAACTAATGAAATGTGCCACCTGCTTAGGAGGAGCACTTGTTGCTCTTGTAGAGGACCTGTGTTCCCTTCCCAGGACCCACATGGTGGCTTATAACCATGGCTAACCCCCGTTCCAGGCAATCTGTCACCCTCTTCTGATCTCCATGGACACCAGGCCTGGTGCATATACATGCATGCAGACAAAACATTCATACACATGAAAAGAAATCTAAATTTCTTTTAATTTAAAAATGTTCCACCTGCTGAGTTTTTAAGAGAAGAGTACTAATTGGCAAACTTTTGTGTCTGTGTTTGTATTGGTGTTCTAACAAGTGTTGACAAGGAAATTTAGGGTTTATTAATTTCATCGATTTATTTACCAGTAGATTTCACTTCTACACTAACTTCAATTTTCCTTGTAATTCTCAAAATAACATCTTCTTTTCCTACCCTGTTAGGGATCTCTCATATACATTGCCTTGTCTGTCCCAGACTTGTGAGCTGAAAAAATGACTTTCTGGCTTTTACAGATTAAGATCAGAGAAATGAATTACTTAAATTGCCTAAAGTTAGACAATAAGAACTGACTTGAACCCAAATTTTTTGATTTGTCCTTAATCCTTGATGTTGAAGCAGTCTTCCGTACCATGTCTATACCGAGCAGTTTTTCTTTAGTCTCTGTAAGGTGACAATATAGCAGTATCAGTGTGGTGGCATAAAATGTAGTGAGGATCCATGTGCCTTTCATCTAGTTGAAGAAACGCAACTGCAAATCAAAAGGACACTTTCCCTATATATTGTAAATTTTCCCAAGTCTTACTGCCTTTCTCCTACTCCAGTCATTAACCTTAAATTGTCACGCCTTCTTGCTGTTGTCATGTAAACAGCATCCAGATCCCTGAGCATTATATCTATACTTAAATATATATATTTAATTTTGATGATCTTAAGTTATTTAAGCATGATGTTTATATCTTTCTGTAACTTATTTTCTCAGTTTGGCCAAGATTCATCCATATTTTTCCATATTTGTTTTGTTTTCACTGCTATCTCATGCAAATAGTTCTATAGCCAACTATGTGTACAATAGCAGTCTCAAAATTATATTGCTTAGTAATGTCCTTGGTGTCTTTCTGTGTATATGCTCTGGCATTTGCACAAGAAAATAGCTTAGCAACAGGTTTCTGAAAAGGTCTCCCTGTCTTTGTTTTTTAAGACAGGGAGACCCTAAATAGGCCTTAAACTTGAGATCCTCAACCGCAGCCTCCCCAGTGCTGGGATTAGAGGCGAACACCACCACTACCAGTATGTCTTCCCATATGTGTATTTAAGTGTGTACTCAATACGTCTCCAACTGTTGGTTCTTGGCCCTATATTCTCTTTTTATTTAAAAAAAAAAAATTCTTGAACAGTTTTTTTTAAACTGCTCTTAGTAAAATACCAAAATAATTAAAAATGCATATTTCCCAGATCAATACTAGAACAGCTATGCTCAGGTTTTGCTCATATCGACAGTATCAAAACTACCCAGGAGTTTGTTAGGTGTTCAGTGCCTCGGGCCCTCTCCCACTGGTTCAGATGCAGAAGGTTAATGGGGGTTGCAGCATCCACATTAGAGTCTAAAAAAGATTGCTGAATTCAGGTACTCCGTACCAGAGGGGAGCATCACTGTCCATTCTGATTGGTCTACTGAATTGCCTTCAGACACGAAAAGCAGCACTGTTGATGACAAGTGATTTTCTCTGCCTAAGGGTTTCAATTGCTGTGAAGAGACACCATGACCATGGCAACTCTTATAAAGGAAAACATTTAATTGGGGGTGTAGCCGGAAGTTTTCATGTGTCCTGCAGCTGCTCGGTTCCAAATAAACACACAGGGGCTTATGTTAATTACAAACTGGTCTGTGGCTCAGGATTATTGCTAACTAGCTCTTTTATCTTTAATTAAGCCATTTCTATTAATCTATGTGTGGCCAGGTCTTTGTGGCTTTACACATGTTCCATTACGTCTTGCTTCCCCAGCGACAGGCAGCACCTTCCCCAACTCCGCCTTTCTTCTCCCTGTATCTTTGCTTGGATTTCCCACCTGGCTATAACCTGTCTTGCCATAGGCCAAGACAGCTTCTTTATTAGCCAATGGTGGCAACACACGTTCACAGCATACAGAAAGACCATCCCCCAGCATGAGGGAGCTTATAGTTGAGAGGTTCAGTCCATTTTCATCATGGTGGGACATTATGGCATGCAGGCATACTTGGTGCTGGAGAAAGAGCTGAGATATTTACATCTTGATCCGTAGGCAGCAGGAAGTGAACTGAGATACTGGGCATGGCTTAAGCATATATGAGATCCCAGAGCCTGCCTCCACAGTGACACACTTCCTCTGACAAGGCCATACCTACTCCAACAAAGTCACACCTCCCAATAGTGCCATTGCCTGTGAGTTTATGGGGGCCAGTTACATTCGAACTATTATACTTCCCTTAAAGTTTGAGCAAAACAGAATACAGTTCCCTTTTCACACAAGATAAATTATTTGTTATTATCTGTGTTAATATAACTAGGCAGTGAGTACATTTTTCGAAATATATGAACTTGGAGTTGATCTTGTTTTTCCTCCCTCTTCTCCCAGTGAATGTCCAGTAGAGCAGTTAAAACTCATGGGACTTGGAGCAGCATTATCTTTTTGGTTTGATTGGAGAGGTATAGTATCAGGGACTCGTTGTGTATCCTCTGCTGGCCTTGAACTACTGATCTCACCAAGTCTAGCACCACCATGGCATTATCTTCCTACAGGGAAAGAAAGTACCTTCTTCTACCTAGCTTTTGGGTTAGTGGTACCTCATTCATTGTACCTGAAGGCCATTAGTAAGAAAGATTACCCTCAAACATAATCTAGTCATAGATTACTAGACCACAGAGTATGAGCTTCTCTTTAGTAGATAACTGCCAGTTTTTTGTCTGGAGTGGTTGTGCCAGTAATAGATGCGATAGGTTTTTCTACCTTATTAATACTTTAGACTTACTGGTTTCTGCCATTCTAAGGAAGATGGAATGGTACTTTAATTCCAGTTTCATTCACATCTTCCAATTATTTGTATTATTGTTAGTAATAGTTTGACTTATTTTTGGATAGATGTATTCTTTTTCTGTGGTTTTTTGTTTGTTTGTTTGTTTTGCTCAGTTTTACTCTATTTTCTGCATAACATATTGGGGTTTTAAAGATACCTTCTTCCACTCTTTAGGGTGGCTTCCACTTTGAATATCATTTTATTAATAGTTTTTAATTCAATGATTTCATTTATTCAATGTTTTGAAATAGTCCTACTATGAAGCCTGGGCTGGT